TAACACCTCCTGTACTACTGCAGGTAGATCCGAGTCGGGTTCCCCTCCTCTGCTGTTGCCATCACCCGTGCTAAGTAACCCATGTTACTCTCGTTTGCTGTCCGTTCAAACCGTGCAAGTGTTGTTTTCGGAACATCCCCTGTATCCGTCCAGCTTCGCAGCTCCACACGTTTCCCATTGTTGTAGATGCACGCCTTCCGGTTGACCTAGTCGATCTCGGGGTTGAACCGCTTTATAAAATCACGCCCCAAGATGAAATATATTCCCTTGATGTTCGTCATTAGCAACGTCGGCTTCCACCTCAACGCCCCTATCTGCAGCTGCAGTGTTGACTCACGGTGGATGGGACGCTTCGTACAGTCCACCGTCGTTGCTGTAAACCGGGTCTCCTCCGAGGACTCCTCAATTTTCTCCAATGTTACGCGGTCGCACACCGAGTGGGATGCACCATTGTCCACCAATGCCTTGAGGCGTTGCCCTTTGCAGAGCACCTCAAGTAGTAGTGGCTGCTGCTGCTCCGAGTAGCCGTAGATGGTCTCGTGTAGATGGTCCCGGTATCGGTAGAATTTCTGACTCTCCCTTATTTAAGGCTTGAAAACCACGAGAAGTAATATTCTTAGCTAAAGTATCTTTATAGGAAAACTTTAACGAATTCTTACTTGTCTGCTGGTGACTTTTGAAATTCACGCCATCATGTTCTCCTTTTTTCCCCCTCTCCGAAGTTGCCACGTTGTCCGTTTTCTGCTTCGAGGGTGCCGCACTGTTCTTGCCCTTCTGCTCCGCACGTGCTTTCTTCATTTCCCAACATGCCAACATACGATGTCCTGTAGTGCCGCAAAATTCGCACGTCTCATTTTTTGCTAGTCGCTGCTTCGCATTGCCCTTGTCGTTCTCCATCGGGTCGGCAGACGTGGGTGGTGCCGATCGCTCCATCCCACTATTTGGCTGGTTGCGTCGTGTTCCGTAGTAGCTACTGTTCAACACGTCAAACTGTTCGATCATTGCTGCCTGAAACTGCGCCCACGTCTCTTTGCCTTGGACAATTTTGTTGTCAATCCACTATGGAGTTGAGCCTTGTAACAGTGTTGCCGCAAGCTGCGCATCGCGTCTTGGGTGGGGGTCGTGCATCCAACAACTTCGAAGTAAAATTCGAGTTCAGCTACGAATCGACGGACGTCGCTCCCTTTCACTATAGGATCGAATGCCTCTGGTTGCCCCGGCTTTGCTGCTTTGATGTTAACTGTAGCTGCTGCCGCTGTCGCAGGTACAATTGTCGGTATCGCCGCCGTCGCTGCTGCTGCTGCTGCTGCGGCTATCGATTGGTTCGCAATGAGTTTTTCGAGTCGTAGGAGCGCCGCACGTGTCTGCTCCTACTTGGCGCGTAACTCCGGGGTTTTTTCTATAAAATTATCACCACTTGGCGATTTTAAGGAAGATTTGCGACGAAAGTAATTTGATTCGGTGCGCTGGTCGACATACTGAGAAACGAATCGAACGCAGAATTTACGAGCGTGGATTCTGTACATCGTGTTATTCTCCCTTAGTCATTTTCGCGTCCGATCTCGGCTGTTGAGAAGAAACGTAATCCAACACTCCAAATTCCAACTTATTTGGGCGAAATTCTCGGCCGTTGAGATGCGATTCGATCGGATGGTTGAATTCCATTTTTTTCGCCAATAAACCTAAGGAGTGTTTGAAAACCGGATCGAGGGGGACTTAGAGAATTTGCGCGGAACTGGTTTTACATACCCGAATTGGCGCTTTCGTCGTTGCCCCCCCGAATTTTTAAAGGCCGGTTTTTAGCAGTTGAAGACCTCGCGTGTAAAAAACTCTGACTACCTAGTGTGAGGTAAAGGCAAATGTTTTAGGGGAAACCCCCTTTGGTATTACCCCGGCTGTCGATTGTAATCCGCCTACCCACTTATTTACACGCCTCGATGGGTATCGAGGTAGGAATATATCCACTCCCATATGAGCATGTTAACTCCAAGTACTATGCGGAAGCGATTAACTCAGTGCCACAAACATAAGCTAGGCAACATTTAACATCACTTGTGACCCAAGTGAGTAGTTATGCCAAGCTTAGCTTGTAGAATGAGCGTTCTGGTTGAGCAGAGTTTCGGCAGAAGTTCGTTATGTTTCTACTCTTGTCAATACATAGTAGTAGAATGCACGCTTGAAATCATAAAACTTTGTTCTTGACAGCAAAAACAAGCACACATATACGAGAGGTCCTAGGTACACAAAGGAAACACACAAGGCAGTTGACCAACTATCGTCCAGGTCTTCGCCTTGCTGTCATTGAAAACGGTTGCTAAACTGCTCTTGAATTTGGCTTGATTTGCCACTATAGGATAACTGTCTTCACACTGCACCGCTGCCAAATTCTCCTGCTGACTCCCCTCATGAACACTCATGACCGCTCGTGTACAAATCATGAACACTCGTGTGGGTTTACCGCTTTCTTCAGTTACAAACAGACTTTACCGTTTTGTACCTCTGTCGAAATAATGACGCAAAGCAGCGCGACTTTCTGGCGAATTTTCCTGCACGCCAGCGCGAAATCCTGTTAGTCAACTGTAGAATCCCGAGTGCCCCACGTGCCCCACATGCCCCTTATCACGACCGAGATATTTCTCGGTCGTGCAGGACAAGACGATCGCTGACGCGATCGTGCGTTGTCCTGCGCGTGACGGAGCGATCATGTCGCTCCGTCCTGTATCGATCGTGCGCACTGTGCGCGATCGAAACAGTAACGACACACGCGTGGGCCCAGGGGAGCCAGACGCGCATGTCAGGACCCCACGCGCGGGTCGATCGCGCGCTTTTTAATTGACCAGCGCGAAGTGGTCAATGGGGCTGGTCAACTATCGAGCCCCACACCAAACTCACTCGACATTCACAACCAGCATTCATGAAAGAACTTCGACATTCATGAAACACAAAACTTTCATGAAACACAGAATATTCATGAACGCACATGTTCATCGCTGAAAACAAATATGAGCGGACTTGAGCCGACATGAACGAACATGACTCGTCATGATCCGTCACGACCGATCATGATCCCACAGCAACAACACATGAAACGAAATGCGAAAACGGATGCACACAGAACACACACAAAATGCATAACATCATGCAGGCGGCTGGTTGCAGTGCAAAAATAGCATTTTGCACCCAACAAACTCCCCCTCAAGCAGTCGCCTGCTTGCACTTCCTTTGCATGAGCCTAGTTGAGGCTCATGCCGCACAGCTTAGCACAGCGCCAGTGGGGTTCTTCAGCCAGCCGCTTCGTGAGAAAATCTGCCGGCTGCTGCTGCGTCTTCACATAGAGGGGCTGGATTGATCCCCTCTGCACCTCCTTCCGCAGCCAATGCCATTTGATCTGCATGTGCTTGGTGAGCCCATGCAGCACAGCATTCTTGGACATTGCAATGGCACTGGAATTGTCACAAAACAGCGGCGTGGCAGTCTTCTGCTCATGTCCTATCTCCTCCAGCAGCTTCCTCAGCCAAATCAGCTCCTTGGCTGCATGGTACATTGACATGTACTCTGCTTCAGCTGATGAACCCGCCGTTTCCACCTATTTCTTTGACCTCCATCTAACGGGCCCACCACCAATGACGCACAAATATCCTCCGACTGAGGACATATCCTCCTTTTCCGAAGCCCAAGTTGCATCAGCAAACCCCGTGAGGAATATCTCCCTTTCCCCGAGCTGCTCCCCCTTCTCCTTGAGAACCTCTGCTCCCTTCTGCTTCATCTGAGCCACGGCTGAGTATTGAACTCCAACGGTGGGATAGGAGTTCAAATACTGGATGATGCAGTCTGCTGCATCCACCTGCTCCTTGGTGGGATTTTGTACCACCCTGGCCAGCTGCCCCACAGCAAAAGAGACGTCCGGCCTGGTGTGTACCACTGCATAGAGCAAGCTCCCCACCATGGACTGAAAACGAGCCTGCTCCCGCTGATCCACTCCTTCATTCTCACCGGCTTTGATGAGTTTGAATCCGGATGGAAGAGGTGTGGTAATCTTCCTTCCGACCTCTATCTCATACTTGCTCCCCATGTCGTTGATGTACTTTTCCTGGTGCAACTTCACCCATCCATTGGTGACATCCCTCTCAATATGCATTCCCAAGTAGTAGTTCGCCTCCCCCAGGGTCTTGCACTTGAAGTTTTGCATCAGTTTCTGCTGCACCTTCATCACCTCCTGCTTGCTGCTCCCGAACAAGAGGATGTCGTCCACGTACACCAGGAACATAACAAGACTCTCCTTCTCCCCCATGAGGAAAAGACCCTCGTCACATGCACTCGCCCTGAACCCTATCTCCTCCAAAACCGAAGACAGCTTCTTGTACCAGCAGCGTGGTGCTTGTTTGAGGCCATAAATGGCCTTCTTCAGCTTGCACACACGCCCGGTGCCATCCTCATAACCTGGCGGCTGCGACATGAACATCTCCACATCTATCAGCCCATAGAGGAAGGCTGTGGTGATGTCCATCTGAACTATCACCCACCCACACACAGCTGCACCAGAGAGGAGAACACACAATGTTGGTGACTTGGCAGTTGCAGCAAAGGTCTCCTTGAAGTCCTCCCTTCTTTCTGTTGATAACCCCTTGCCACCAGCCTGCTTTTGTAAACTGACACGGCTCCTTTGTTGTCAGTTTTAATCCTTGGAATCCAGCCACAGCTTATGGCTTTCTTCCCCTCCGGCAGTGGCACCAGCTCCCATGTCCCATTCTCCATTTGACTGCTGTATTCAGCATCTCTTGATGCCAGCCACTTGTCCCGGTCTGGTCCGTTAAGAGCTTCTTCCATGGTCAGTGGCTGAGTTGGTGCGGGTGCCATGAAGCAGTAGACTTCTTCCTCCGCTTCCTCATCGGAGTCACAACTGCTTTGAAGCACCAGTAATGCATCGGGTTGCTGCTGCTCTCCCCTTGCTCCTTTGTAGTCCCTCAGCTTTAGTGCGGCTGCTCTCATCTGCCTTTCGATCATGGGTGAGAGACCACGACCTGTGGGAGGGGATTTCGTTTGGGTCCTTCTTTGGGGAAGGGTGGGGGGAATCACACGTGTCATGGGGTGAGGTTCTTCAGGTGCACCTGTTGGCTCCACGCCCTTGATCACGGGAAGCTCTGCTGCACCCTCCTCCCCGTGTGCCGTTGCGGTCTCCTCCCCATGCCACTCCTCCTCAGCCTCAAACCCCATGGTTGCCTGCTGCAGTTGCTGCACGATCTGCTCTTTTGGTTGCTTGGACCAGCTCCCGTAGGTGATGTCTTCCATGAACTTCCCGTAGGATAACTGTCTTCACACTGCACCGCTGCCAAATTCTCCTGCTGACTCCCCTCATGAACACTCATGATCGCTCGTGTACAAATCATGAACACTCGTGTGGGTTTACCGTTTTCTTCAGTTACGAACGGACTTTACCGTTTTGTACCTCTGTCGAAATAATGACGCAAAGCAGCGCGAATTTCTGGCGAATTTTCCTGCACGCCAAGTCAGCGCGAAATTCCGTTAGTCAACTGTAGAATCCTGAGTGCCCCACGTGCCCCACATGCCCCTCATCACGACCGAGATATTTCTCGGTCGTGCAGGACAAGACGATCGCTGACGCGATCGTGCGTTGTCCTGCGCGTGACGGAGCGATCATGTCGCTCCGTCCTGTATCGATCGTGCGCACTGTGCGCGATCGAAACAGTAACGACACACGCGTGGGCCCAGGGGAGCCACACGCGCATGTCAGGACCCCACGCACGGGTCCTGACTTCGCGTGCTTTTTAATTGACCAGCGCGAAGTGGTCAATGGGGCTGGTCAACTATCGAGCCCCACACCAAACTCACTCGACATTCACAACCAGCATTCATGAAAGAACTTCGACATTCATGAAACACAGAACTTTCATGAAACACAGAATATTCATGAACGCACATGTTCGTCGCTGAAAACAAACATGAGCGGACATGAGCCGACATGAACGAACATGACTCGTCATGATCCGTCACGACCGATCATGATCACACAGCAACAACACATGAAACGAAATGCGAAAACGGATGCACACAGAACACACACAAAATGCATAACATCATGCACGCGGCTGGTTGCAGTGCAAAAATAGCATTTTGCACCCAACAGAGCAGTGCGAGACCCCCTTTTGGGGAGCTGGCAGAACTTGCCGACACTCGGTTGAACCCGGAACCTCATCCTTCGGAAGTCCCATTCTACTTGACTAGGCCACTTCAAGATAATTTCTAAGTGTGAGGATCGAAGGAACTGGTTAGATTGGTTTTTATTTTATTTTATTTTTATTGGCAATGCAAGATACATTATAATAGCGCATACAAGCATTAACAGTCGTAACTGCAGCCGATGGGCCTAGACAGCAACCAGCCATTGTACCCATCCTGACACTTTACGGGGGACGAAAAGTCGTGCGCAGATTGGCCCAGATGGAGGTGAAGCCACTGGTCCACGCAAGCGATTTTGCCGAGCTGTCACAAACCAGCTCAGACGTCAAAACTCGTCAGGATCCAACCGCTCCAGGATGGAACGTTGCCCCGGCTCCAACACGATTCCTGGCCGTTTACTTCCCCTTTTGGCCCAAAGGTATACCCTCGTATGAGTGTAGAAAGCCGCTGCAATCTTGTGCATCACCCTCCTGGACCGAAACTGCCCCCTTTCGAAAACATCACACCTCTCCACCTAGATATTATGCAAAGTGATGGCGGTGATCGTCGCTTCCGGAAAGCCCGACCTCGAGCCCTCCTTCTAGTAGAGCAGGTCTCCCAACGAAGTGATTTTTCTTCCCGGGTTTAGCATTTGGAGGGCCTTCAACAGCCCATGCACCACAGGCTGGATACGAGGACAGCTGAACAAGCAATGTTATGCTGTCTCTTCCCCTCCACGGTGCGGGCATGCCACCCCCTTGAGGAACCTTAGCCTCACCCCAACCTGAAGGTTACGAAAATGCAGACGGAGCAGGACATTCTGGGCCCGGTTCGAAAGCACCACAGAGTCCCGCACCCTGATAAATCTCCTCCAATCAATAGCTTTCCCCCACTCCTCCGTCCACTTCACTTGCTGCAGCATCACCCCCTGTTGCACGCCAAAGAGCATTCTCAATTGCTTGAAAGGAGGGATCCGATCCTCCGCGCACAGCTCCGAGCATCGCAGCCGTACCTCGGGCAGACCACCCACTCCAAACACTCTTCCGTTCCACACCATCAACGGCTCCACCTTATCCAGGTCCAGAATCGCAGACGTCTCCGCGCACCCCACCAGGGGTTCACCAAAACAGTCACATGCTCGGCAGGCAAGACCTTCCTGCACCGCTGCCTCCACCTTCCAAAATCCCACAACATCAGACGTCATCGCCGCCACCTGCCATCCCAACGACTTCTTCCCGTTCGGCAGGATGTGCTGATTAAACACCCACGGCTCCTGCATGACGTCCCATCACAAAACTGGGCATAAAAACCTCGCATATCTGCTTCCACCTGACACTACGTTCCTTCCATACTTTCAGGAACTCTGCATGCGCCCAAAAGGAGCGAAAGCAAGCAGGGAGGTCCGCCGCCTTTAGCGCCAACCATCTGCGGATGCCTTCGCTGTTCAACACTAGCATCCCCACCCGCCTGGCAGCCAGGCCACTGAGCTCGACACCTCAACAAGAAACAACACCTCAACAATCGCCGGGTCAGTTATCTTCTGCTTAGTATAACCTGGATCTTCCGGATACTGCCAATCCAGGAAGATGTACTTCCCATTCACGCAATGGTGCTCAATACGGTTGCGCCAGACAAAGTTAGCATCAGAAGCAGCAATGAAGGTGACTTGCATGCGACCATAGAGCTTCTTCGAGAGGTAAGCCGGGGTAAGCTCTTGGAACTTCGTCGTTGTTGCCGCATTTTTTGTGAGATCATTCTCCCATATCTCCAGCAGCTCCTTAACAGTCGCCTATGTCCGACGGACCTCCTGCCAATGGTAATTAGGAATCAGCAAGGTGAGTGGGAAACGCAACTACGCCGCTAGCTCTTCCTTCGCCTTGTCCTCAAAACACTCCTTCGGGTCATGAGCCATCAAACCATCATCCTCGTCATCAAGGAAGCTAACACGGCAAACACCACCAGACGAATCTCCTTCGTCATCCTCAGCGGTGATTTTCCCTTCCACATCAGAAACCACATCCTTGAAAATCGCCTCTTTCCCTTTGCCATTGTCAGCCTTCCTTCCAGCATCTTGCTCAATCCGGATAGCCGCCAGCTTGGCGGACAATCCCAATGACCCCGAATCCTCTTCAGAAAACAGACTACTTGCCGACTTTGATGGAACAGCAGTAGCCGATAGCGGACGCGCGGAAGGACCCGCGATCGGCGTCTTAAGCGCAGCAGCAGCAGCAACAGCAGGATCCATCTTGTTAGTAGGCTTAACTGGCTTTGCTCTCGGAGGCATGGCGTGATGATGAAAAAGCCACCACAGCCAGCAGAGTGCTGGAGAATCGTTTCCACTGAGCGTCTTAAAAACGCCACTGAAGCAAGCTTGTGAAGCCTGATCCTTGCGCTTATGTGTTGTCTGTGAAATTGAAGATGCCTTGTATTGGTTGTTGATAATGTAACCTTGAAGACTGTAGGCTGACTCAGCGACCAGCATAGAACCTAGGAAGCCGACATTGGTATTAGATACCGAAACCAATCGAGATAGTGCCATGGGAACGTGCGAAACAATGTCCACTGTATAGACATAAAAAATATATCGACGAGGCAAAACAAAGGCAGTAATTCGGGTGTAACTTAAAGGTTCCGCGGGTCGCGAAGCGTCCCGAACGGGTCCTTCCCGAATTCGGCAGAAGGCAATTTGGCAGCAACCGAAAAGCCTAGAATTTGGTGCACTCAACCTATTTCGGTGCCTATAATTATAATAACTGTTGTTCATCAACGAAATTAGGAAATCAAGCAAAATCAAGCACAAGAAAATATGAATGAGCAAGATAATGCACGATAAGATAAGTATATGTAGTTAAAGCCGTCGTACTCTCACACCTTAGCTCCTCGAATTCCAGCTGACTCAATCGCCACTGTGACCGAACGACACACCATGTTAAAGCTATATCCGATGATCTTTGGGACGTTGAGGTGCCCCGCCCGCAATGAGGTCATCCGCAAAAGTTTCGAGATACTCCCGAATGATGCTTGCCAGATCCTTAGGGACAATTATGTTGAGCTTGTCGATGCCGGTAATTACCTCGCCACTAGTCACTTCGTACAGATAGACGTTGTAGGCTTGCACTCCTTGTCCGATCGTACCCTTCATTAAGAAAATGTTGACACGTGTCATCAACGGCTCCGACTCCGTCCATTTTGGATGCGTGCACCATTCCTTCGCACGTGACGTCATGTATTCCCATGTTGTCCAATCGATCCTTGGGTGAAATTGTTCTAGCCAATTACATCCCAAGAGCACATCGCAGATGTCCAATGTCACCATCAGCATCTTCATGCAATTCGCGCCTCTTTACGAATTGCTAGCGCTGTTCCTTTCACCAGTCGCGGGTCAATCTCGAGTGGAAAAACATTCCAGCTTGACTCCTATTTTCTGGGTTGTCATATAATGAGATTGTGGCTCATTTGGTTGCATTTGTAGCACAACCCAAAGGCTCGGCTAGGTGCGTCCATGTAGTTGATCGAGGGTTATTGAGTGGATATGCGAAGATAACTTCCTTAACACGAACTTGCTCTCACCTGCTACATCAGCTCGCCTATCGATTCCGCAAGATGTATGACATTGTTGAAGCTCCGAGGTCGGGTCCGTCATACCTCATAGTGGATCTTGTGCTTGAGATCGTTGACGTGCTTGTCCAACCACTCCTGTCGGAAACTCACTGCTTTGCCTTCCTCTTCTCATGTTGCAGCCTATCACTTGTTGCAGAATCATGTTCTTACTTCCTTCCATGTGCCTCATGTCTCATTTTGCCTTGCCTCCATTGGTGCTGCCCACCCTGCCTTTCCTTGCTAGGCCTGGCCTCACTGTACGTTGTTCGGGAAGGAACACCCATCGCCGGTACTGATGATGCCTTCCCTCTCCACCGGTGCTGGGACCAGCTTCCAACCTTCCCGAGTCCTGAGCTGCACCTGCCCCGCATAGCACCAATAGTGTTGCCCTCGTGCTCGCGCCCGTTCGAATACCTGCTCCTCCGCCTCTGTCTCTCCCCTGAGACACCGCAGCGTCTCTGGATCCGCCCACACATCAGGTGTTCCCCGAGCCTCATGCTGCCTCCCCGCCTGCCTCTCCACCAAGCACTCCGCTGGTTCTTCTGGTGGGGGAATTGCGAGACAGACCATCCACGTGCTATAGAGTGTGCCTTGGGCGGTGCTTGACGACGAAGTCAAACTCCTGTAACCGCATGGCCCATCGCGCGTTTCTCCCAGTCAGGGTATGATTCGTCATGAGCCAAAGGAGCGGCTGGTGATTGGCAACCAGGGTAAATTCACGCCCTTGCAGGTATACCCGGAAATGCGTGACTGCCCACACAACTGCCAGCCCCTCCCCCTCATACGAGATGTAGTTTGTTTCCACGGCATTGCAACTGCGGCTGGCAAAGGCTACCACTCTCTCGCCCACATCCGTCCACTGGCAGAGCACCACTCCTATGCCTGCGCTACTCCAGTCGGTTTAGAGGGTGAACATGCCTTCCGGCCTTGGCAGCTGCAGCACCGGCCCTATCTTCACTGCGTCTAATAGCTCATGTAGTGTCCCCTGCTAAGTTTCTCTCCACTTCCACGCCACGTCCTCTCTCAGCAGCTAGTTCAGGCAAGCAGCCCTTTTGCTGAAATTGGGCACGAATTTCCTGTAATAGTTCAGGAATCCCAGGATGGCTCTCAGCGTCGTGCGGTTCTCAAGCACCGCCAACTTGTCCAGCACCGTCACTTTAGCCTGTTGGATCGACATCTGCCCTCCACACACCTCGAACCCCAAGTACTACACTGTCAGCGACCCGAATCTGCACTTCTTGGGGTGACAGGTGAGCCCAGCCGCCCTTATGGCCTCCAGCACCTACTTCACATCCATCAGATGTTGCTCTGCTGAAGCGCTGAATACCACTACATCGTCGATGTAGCATGCCGAGAAATGTTGTAAGCCTCTCAAGACCTGGTCCATTGCCCGCTGGAAGACCGCGGAGGCGTTCTTCAACCCAAAGGGCATGAACAGCCACTCATAGAGGTTGTTTGCCCCAGGAAACGCTGTCTTGCGCACGTTTGCCGCCGCGATCCTGATCTGATTAAACCCCTGGTGGAGGTCCAAGGTGCTGAACACCCTTGCCCCCTACAGTTTGTCAAAGATCTCCTTTGACGTTGGCATGGGATACCAGTCCGGTAGGGTCAGCTTGTTGAGGTCACGGTAATCCCCGCACATGCGTCGCGACAGAATCCCTCTGGTGAGCTCCTTCCTCACCGCCACCACTGTGGCTGCTGCTTATTCCGACTTCGAGGGTCTGATGAGGCCTGCTTCCAGCAGCTCCCGACACTTCTCCCGACAGATTTCCAAGTCCCCGGGGCTCATCCTCCATTTGCGTTGGTAGACTGGCATTTTCTCCGTCCACCGTATCTCCAGCTCCCTCCCCGTGTACTTGCCCAGCTCTAGCAGGGTGAAGGCGAACGCTTGCCAGTTGTCCTTCAAGGCCTCCCACACCTGCTCCCTTGGTTGTCCTTGCATTCCCTCGTCGATTTTCCAATGTGCCTCCACTCTTCCTTCCTGCCTCGCTGGTGCGGCAGTTTGCTGTTGTTCATGTCTCAGCCCCTCTCCTTGCTCCCTCTCTCCCGCTAACTCCTGTGGCCCACGCGTCTCCTGCTGGCCCCTGCTGTTCTCTGCCTCCGTCGCGGGCGGCTCGATCCATCTCTCCGTCTCTGCCGGCCCTCCGTCCGTGCTCACCTCCTTTGCCATCAGCGCCCAGCCCCGTTCACGCTACTGCTGTCTCTCCACTCGTATTTCCAGCAGGTTCTGCTCCACCCTCTACTGACTTGCCACCACCTTGTCCTCCGTGTCGTCTCCTGGGCCGCCCACTTCTGCCTCCATTTCCAGTTGCTTGGCGGCTAGGTTTGTCTAGATGATGTGCACCAGCCAGTGCATGGACTCGGCATCCATGGCTCTCCCAAGCGCCTCTCGCCTATAAGCTTCTTCTACTCCTAGCGCGGCCGTCGCTCCTGGTATAAACCCCATCGCCAATTCTCGTTCCTTGGCCAAGAGCTCCTCCCACGTGCCCAGCACATGGTCATAGACCATGCCTGGCCCTGGCAAATCCTTGCTCCAGAGGAAGTAGTAAGCCTTATGATGCGCCACTAGTGTGGGCCATGCTTCCTTGTATAGCCCCGGCTCGTTACATTGAAACTGGCTTGGATGGTCCGGTTTGAGCACTGGAGCTGGCGTGCGGTGTGGCTTCATAATGTAATGGCGGTGTGGACGGGGCTGAGGCCTCTCAGTCTGGATCAGCTCTAGCCTCAGCATTCCTTCCGAAGCGCCATTCTGCCAGTAGCGCCTCACCCTGTGTGAGTAAGACCCTTGCTGCACTGCATCCCGTGCAACTCTTGCCCCCAATGCTGCTGCCACCACATCGTGCATACAGCGCACAGGTTCCTTGCAATCCCTGGAAAAGTCTGGGTTCTCCAAGATGTACAGGTATTCTCTGTGCTGCTGGTAGATCAGTTTCATCACCCATAGCAGCTCCGGGAACAGCGTAGACCGTGGGCCTTCCAGGCCTTTCCCCTTCCCTGCCCTTGAGACTCCCGAACACTACCATCCCACCACCAGGAGTCCACCTGCCCCCAACGCTTGACATCCACATGGGATACTTCTCGAATGTCATGTATCATATCCTCCTTGGCTTCTACTTCCACCCCGGTCATCATCTGCGATGGCTATAGTCCCCTCAGCTTCTTAGCTTGGTGCAGCGCCATGCGGCGGACCACCGGGTCCAATTCCATCAGCACCCACTTCTTCACTCTGCGCCCAGCCTTGAGAGCTGCGGCCAGGCCGGTCCCTATCCCGCCGAAGAGTTCCACTATCGTCAAGAGCTGTTTCAGCCTCTCGAGGTCCGTGAGGCATGGAGGTAGCACGAGTGGGCGAGGACTCCCTTCTTCCTCGACTTTCCTTGTTTCTCTTTCCAGCACATACTGCTTCCAGGACCAATCCTCCAGCTGCTCGTCCATTTCTGCCATTCGAGCACTGAATCTTAGGATCGTAAATGCCTTAGTCGGCAATAGTCTACTTGCTATTGCTTATCGTGTTCTCCACGATCTCACGAATCCAATGATATGCGCAGCTCTGCTTGAAGTTGTCAACACACACTTCAGCAATTTTCAGAATCTGATTGGTATGATTTCCAGAATGAGTACAAGCAGTTTTATAGTCATGCAAGACACAAAACGCGATTCATAACTTCACTTGTTCCCCAAGTAACA